AAAAATCTTCCTTGAAGAAAAGTGGCAGAGGCAGGTCCCTGTGCTGGCTGAGAGGTGGAGATCCACATCTCTGGGTGTCCTTGGGCAGAACACAAGCCCTTGAAAGCAGGGTGGGAAATGGGGGACCTGTGTCGATGCCTGAGTGACTGAAACAAGACTTTTAAGTATAGGTGCTGGTTTGGGGAGAACAAGAAAACCTCTGTCTGTATTGCAACTGTATGAAGTAGATTATGAACATAAAAATTGAAATTTTCTTCTGGCAACTTCCACTTTAGCCTTCCTAGTACAGGTCTGTAGCTGCCTGCAAACATCCCTGCCCAGCAGTGAGGCTGTGTGCTCTCATTTCAGCCTTGCCCTTCCTTTCACATCTCCTCTGTGGCCTATTGCTTTCAGCATGTAATTCTCTTAATGAGATCCTCAGCGATGCCACAGAGCCTCGGGGACACGGGCTGCAAAATCCAAACTCGGCTCACACAACGTGATCCTGGCCATTTCTCCTCTTTCAAGGTTGCTTTTTAAAGACAATTCGTAGAATGAATTTTCTAGGTGTTTTTTTCCTCCGTTCCCCACATTTTGTTGTTTACAGTTCCAGTCTGTTTGTTGTCATGCAGGTCAGTGTGAAGAGCTTGGTTAGTTCCATTCTGATTCTCTGCCTGTCTCTGTGTGGTGTTATTCCCTGAGGTTTATATTTGGCATGTCTTGTCTAGGTTAGCTTCAAGTGACTGAGATTAGTGGGCTTCCATTCCTTATGTCCCTTAACTTTGACTACATCACATTTGCTTCAGAGCAAAGTTTTGCTCTAGAGGGAGTGCAATCTGTTGTCCACTCTGCAATAAGAGAAATTGCAGGTTTGTCTGTTATACACTGGCAGCAGCATTTCTTTCAGCAATAGAAACAGACTTTATCAAATAACAATCTGCTGCAAGCCCTCCCTTCCCTGCACTAAAAGGGATGTAAAAGTAATTGTTAGAAGTAATAAAATATTCTAACACAGTATGTGCTGTGGTTAAGGTTCTCTCCCCGCAGTTTCTCCCGGGACACACCACTATTCATTAATCCCAAAGGAAAACTATCCTTAGTCACTAAAGTCATCCCAGCAGAAAGCTCAGTTCTTTCCTGCATAGATCTATTTCTGCTGTACTGTTAATTATACTGTACAAAGTGCCAAAACTAATTCTTCACCCCCTCCCTCCCTCCCTCCCTCTCTCTCTCTCTATCTCTCTGTCTCTCCTGACAGCTCAGGTTCCAGACAGTGATGAGCAGTTTGTGCCTGACTTTCACTCAGAAAACTGTAAGTAGCACGGGGAAGATCACATGTCTCAGGGGAGAAGGGCAAACTCAAATTTTGGTGCCTTTCCTGTGCTGATACCCCTCCTCTCTGTCCAGGGCAGTTTCCCCCATGAAAACTGAAATGAAACACTTTTACTGGTTGCTCTTGTTTACCTCCTTTCCCTGGGCTTGGCCCTGCAGCACAGCTGGGCTTGGTCTCTGAGTCATATATCTCATTTCTTCCTCTTTTTGACCCGGAACTGAGGATGGGCCCGTGTTTCACTCTGAGTGAATTCATGAGTCAGTTGTAATGTAATAGCCTGTTCCAGTTATAAGGGTCTGGAAAGCATTGGCTGCTCCTAACACATCCAGCTTCTTGAAATTTCCACAGAGGTCAGTGCACTGGAGAGAGAACTTGGTTTTTTTACCCTCAAGACTCAGCTGACCAATCAGCATTTTTAGATGGATTTTATATATCTGTTTGCTTCATACATTGCTACAGACAGGGAGATGGGTGCCCCACGCACAGAAAGACTCTTTTCTCTTCTGGCCCTTCCCTGGGCCTGGAGTGTTTGCACAGATGCAGGAGTGTCATGCTCAGAATACTGAATCCATCCCAGGTGTGGAGAGACCGCTGGGTCAGCACACTCAGCCCTCCCTCAACCTGGACAGTGCCCAGAGCTGTTTGTGAACAGGTCCCTCTGCTCTGACTGACGGCAGCCACAGGATCAACCACAGGAGCCAGTTGTGCCTGAGGAGCAGTAGGAGCCAGAAACAACAGGAGGCTCTGTGATCTTGTGGATTTATGCAATATATATAGTGGTGTTTTCCCACAGAAAGCCTTAAACTTTTGTAATCGCTGTGTCTACAAAAACCTTACATTTATTTTCCTGTAGGACAAACTGTACTATCAGGACATCTCCAATGTGTCATCATATTAGTGTATTATAATTTAATGCAGTGCTACATAATAATACTACTCTTAAGACATGGTTCCCAGGTATGGCAAAGACCACTTTGCATGATGCAAATCAAAACTTTGCTTTTATGTTCTGAAAAACAATGTGCAAGCTACACCTTATAACAGAAAATGTCCGTCCCAGCCCTGAATAGCTTAGGACATACCCACTCTAAATCCTTTTCAAAGTGCTCTGGATCATCACAGAGTATGTTAACACTACCTTAGGTTTGCCCTTTTAAGGCTGATGTGTCATACACACTTCACTAAATCCAGGGCAGCGCTCAGGGAAGTCCAGTGAGCAGCTGTGCATGTTGGCATTTTGTTTCTTTCAGAGCCACCTGAACAAGGACAAGGTGGTGCCATCTCCACTGACAATTCACTGGCAGATAATCATAGCTCTCCATAAAGAAGAAAAGTGTCAACTTGATCTTTCCTTTCCCTCCCGCAGTAGCTTTTCACAGTCCTCCTGCTCAGATCAAAAAGGAGCCGCAGAGCCCCTCGGAAGCCCCCCTGTCCTGCAGCCACGAGCAGCCCTTCCAGCAGCACAGCGAGCAGTGCCTTTACACCAGGTAAGGTGGCTCACACAGGGGAGAGACAGGAGCTGTTCTGAAACAAAGTGCTGCTGCATTATCTAATAATGGAGTGTGTGACAACAGCCCTGCCTGTGTGCTCAGTCCAGACCAACGGGTGGGTCAGCTCAGGCAGCCAGGTGCTGCTCTGGGCAGCTCAGAGCTGAGCAGAGTAGGTCTGGGCTTGCCTCTCTTTTCTTCTCCCTAGTGCTGTTCCTCGTCTGTCTTCATGCTGAGCACAACCTTGACATCTACCACATATCTCTCCCCCTTTCTTTCCAAAATCTGTCCCACACCACTGCCCATAGTGCCAAGCCCTTGCCTGAGCTCTAGTGTGGCTTCTTCAGCACAGACACCTTCCCTGGTTTTCTACCTGAAGGGTTGTTGCTGTTGTGTGTGGGGTCAACTAACAATCAGAGAGCAGGGTGTTTATGCTGGGAGTTTGTCAGCCTAGGTGGCTGCACAGAGGGACAGCATGTTTGCCTTTGATATACTGTTCCCAGATGCTGCCACAAGTCCTTCTAGGAGAGCTGTAATGCTCCAATATCTGTCTGACTGTTGCAGTGCCTATGATCAACCCAGACGAGTCGGAATCAAGTCCCCCAGCCCAGGAATCCTGACACAGTCACCACTCCAACAGTTCCCTAGACAGGACAGGAGCTTCCCAAGCCCTGTGGGGCCACCCCACTCCACATCCAGCTGTGGATACCTCAGTGAAAACGGGTGAGTTACTGCCAGGAGGAGGCAGCCACCGGCAAGAAGGATTGCTCTTCTGGGTGGTTCAGGGAGGAAGGGCTGCAGCATCCAGATGGAAGTGCTCTGTTTACAGTGAGCACAGGATCCCCTCCCATGGGATCCACTGCTGCTGCCTAGGGTTCCAAGTCCATAACCCTACCCCTGCTAGATTCTGTGAATGATGGGCTGTACAGCAGCTACCCTTGCAAACACCCTTCACTGGGGTCCCTTCTTCCCCCAGCTGTGAGTGAGCTCCTACAGCCCTAGTAAGAGGCTGAGGAAGTTTCTGTCCCTCAACCAGCCCCCCACCAGGGCTGAAACCAGGGGAGCCAAGAAAGCAGCCATCTCATGTCCTCTCCCTTCTTCCAGCTCTGCCTATCAGCCACCTGTGGAGATGTGCCATTCCTTCCCCTCCTCCCAAGGCGTGGCCCAGGAAGACCCCATTGCCTACCAGTGCCAGATGCCCAAGCCCTGCCTCCAGTACCCTCATCAGGGCTTCAAACAGGAGCACCATGACCCACGATACGAGCAGGAAAGCCAGGCAGGCAGCAGCCACCAGTACCCAGCAGCTGTGGTGGTGAAGCAGGAGCAGGTGGACTACATGTACGACTCAGGTGGGCAGAACGAGCTCTTTCTGACTGCAGAAACCAGGCATCAGTGGGAGTGAGCAACTCCTGGGTGAACATCCATCACTGGTGGCCTTTGGGCTTTGAAATAGTTCTTCAGGAGCACGTGTGGTCTGGGAAACTGGCCTGGGTGACTGGCTATGCAGTAGGAAACTTAAACAGTTCCATCTGTTCCTTGCATCCAAGATAAAGCTGGGACATTCACCTTCCATGCCATGTTCTAAGACCTTCTGGTAGATAGTTGGAAGCTTTAGTAAGACAGGAGGTAGAAGGTGATGTTAAATTCATTCAAACTAGATTAAAGTATGCTTTCTTTTTTTTCCCCAAGGGAATAAGTAGCCAGTGGGGAGACTCTCCAAATTCACAGTTATCCCACTCACACCATCAGTGCCATTGTACTGCTTGGTGTCCCTTGGAGTGTCAGCTTCCACCTGCTACTTCCCATAGAAACAGGGCACAGAGAGCAGAGATTTCAGGGGATCACAAGAGAAAAAAAGTTTATCATTCCAGAAATAGCTCTCTAGATACCAGGTCCACCAGGTGATCCTCTTGTTTTTCCACGAGGGATAAATCTTATTTTTTCAGCAGACCTGTCTAAAGACTCGCTACCCTGAGATTGCAATAGCCTCTTCCAGAAGGAATGTTACCTCTGGTTTCCTGGTATTTTAATGGACATCTTGAATTGTTTCCTTTAGCAGAAATAAATACATAAATAAAAGGCTCCCATGAGGGTATAAAAACCACCACTGTGGTGAGGCTGATATTACACTTTCACTGGGTAGTTCTGTGCAGGCAGGGGAAGAAAATGCAAACCCTGAAGAATGCTTTTTGTGAGAGTAGTTTATGATTGTAATAAGACCCACTCTGTCAGCTCGGAGTACTCTTCCCTCAGCATCAGCAAAATATCTGCTGAAAGCAATGGCTGAACACAGGAGTGTGAGGGAAACATAAGATAAATCTTCCCAAAGCTCCCAGTTACAGCTTCCTTTTCAGCTGGGGACAGAAAATAGATTTGATTCAGAAAACACAAGATACAGAAGACACAAATTGCAGTGCTCAGGCAGCAATACACACTACAGAGAGCATGGAAAGACCTTCTGCTTGTTTTTAAACTCAGGCTATTTTTTTCTTTTTGTTTTCTCAATTGTTTGTGAGAATGCCCATCATGATGTGAAAAAGCCGGGGAGACTTGAGACATCTGAAATGACATTTGTGAGACACTGTCTGCAGAAACATTCAGATGCTACTGCTCTGTTTAGATTATCACACGAATGTATGAAAAATGTAATGCCTTCTTACCTGGGAATGGATGTAGTTGTCTTAAACTAAGATGAGGGAGAGGTGTTATTCAAACTTAGCCTATTGCCCAAGATTCTGAATGAAGAGTGGTGTCGAGGTGACAGGCTAACTATCCCAGCTACTCTGAAGGATGCTGTGTGATAGTGCCACAAAAAACTACTGTAATGCACGATTGGAAAGATGATGCAGGTGAAGTTGTAGTTATCCTACTGACACTAACCCTTTGGGAGGGCCCTAAGAGGATGTTGGTCAGACAGCTGCACCCACCTATCCACCTCTGGAGAGCAAGATCTTTCTGCCACCTGTGTTTTTCAAACAAATGAGTTTGTTAATTGTTCTGTAGATGTTCCTGACTGTGCTTCCATGTATGTAAATGCTGAGAGTTATCCAAGCCATTCAAACACAGAAGACACATTAGGTAAGAAAAGCAGCGACTGTTTTCCTTTCCCTGCATGGAATTGCCCTCTGGTACTATCCTGGCTGGCTGTGACTGCTGGTGTTGCTTTCTCTTTCAGGCTGCAGCTACGACAAGCAGATGAGGTCCTTTACTGATGATGTCTGTGTTGTTCCAGAAAAATTTGAAGGTTGGAGAAAGGTTCACAGTTTGGGTGTAAGATAGGGTTACCCAGCAGCTTTGCTAGCCACTTGACCAGTGTCCACATAGTTCATTACGCTGTGTTCTTGCAGGTGTGTTAGCTGTGGTTCATATTCAGCTTTTCAGTATTTCAATTCTTGGGCTTTCTTAGCAGCAAATAGGCCTTCTAGCACAAGTAGCTTAATTGTGAGGTTCATCAGAGCTGCTTTTGATTTTTGCCTGTGAATTGGCCACTCTGTTTCATGTGAACTGAAATATTCCAGGTAAACATTAAACGTGTCTCTTCTTTTTTTTTTTTTTTCCCCAATGGTTTTTGCACTGCTATCCTTAAAACATCTTGTTTGTTCTCAGCAGGAGACATCAAGCAGGAAGCTGGAGGGTACCGGGAAGGACCTCCCTACCAAAGACGGGGATCTCTCCAGCTCTGGCAATTCCTTGTGGCTCTGCTGGATGACCCGACCAATTCCCACTTCATTGCCTGGACTGGTAGAGGGATGGAGTTCAAGCTCATTGAGCCAGAAGAGGTGAAACCATGGAGTTTGTCTACAGGCTGAGGGCAAGCAGCCACCGTTTCTGGGGCTGCAAATTCCCAGGTGGCTTTTCCTCTTTCCTGTGAAGTTTCTGCCTGCCAGTGGTACTCTCTAGACCCTGCAGCAAGTCAAGGTTTTTAGAAGAGGTCAAAAACACCTGGGTGACAAATATCAGGTTTAGGGAAGGCTGCTTGTATGCAAGTTTAGACTCTCAGCTATGCAGTGAGTCAAATTTCCCATTGCCTTCACTTCCCTAGATACTTGAATCTCAAGCTTGCAGTGACCTGTGCTGTCTTATCTTGCTCTACACTTGACTCTGACATGGAGGTTTGGAGTTTTGAACCCTAATGATTGCAGAAGTCCTCATAAGAATCTGGAAGAAAATATGTCCTAGTCTATATCAAAATGACATTACCAAGGTGTAATTTCTAATGCTGCCACGTTCCAAAAAACACAGTGATGCCTGACAGTATCCAGGAGATGTGTCTATAATACCTGTTCACATCTATTTTCAACTAGAGCTGCATTTAGCACTGTTCTTGCTATATATCAACTTCTATGGGCACTTTTAGTGCAGATGAATTGTTTTGGTGGGTTGATATAGGCTTACAACGGATTTCTGAGCTGAAAATCATGCAGGAATAGGAAGGCACGTGGCTCTTCCATTGTGTTCCTTCACACTTCAGCTCCTGACAAACATGGGACCCTTGAAGAGTAAGTGTAGCATTGGATGAAGCAGCTCTTTAGCACCCTCAGGCTTTCAGAGTATTGGAGAGTGAGGAGAAGTGATGACAGCAAACAAGCCCTGTAGGGTCAAGGAGAATTTCTCTTGAGTTCTACTCTTCTTGTTGTAAAGCTGCTAAATTATTGATAAGTCTATTATTTAAATGTTTGTACGTGTTGTGGTGTCACTCCTCAAAAGAGAACCAGCTAGATAATGTTCTTTTGCCCTTGGGCTGGGTTCACAGACATTTCCACACTTTATCCTGCTTTATTCTGCAGGTGGCCAGGCTGTGGGGGATCCAAAAGAACCGTCCAGCCATGAACTATGACAAGCTGAGCCGATCCCTTCGCTACTATTATGAAAAAGGCATCATGCAAAAGGTCAGTTTGCAAAGCAGGAGGAGACTATGACTTTTAAGTGATGCTTCTCTTGTTTGAGACAGGTACAGAATGTCCTTGAGCTAGCCAGGCATCCCAAGCTTTCTCTCCTCACAATCTCTCTTTGCAGCTGTTAAACAGGGAAGCTGGGAAAGAGCCGAATGTAGGCAATGTATGAGAAATAAAACAAAGGGGAATCATGATTTCTTTTTCTGTGTATGTCTGCAGCCAGGAAAGTTGGAAATTATGCAGCTGAAAGGAGATACAATCAGTCTAGACTTGCTTTTGTGAGAGAAAGGCTGCCCGAGGCTTTGTCCTATGTAGCAGGGATGGTCTGTGACAGATCCAGGGCACCAAAGAGATAAGTGGGAGTGCAACTATCACAGTACAGACTGCTCAGGGACTGCTGATGCTGTTGTTACCTGGACAAAGAGTCCGCTGGCAGCATCCCATTTCCCAGGAGCTGTTCCAGGGGAGGTCAGAGCAGCAGGAAGGCAGCACAAGGAGACGTTTACAGCTCCGACGCGACTCCAATGTTTTTGCAAGCCTTGCCAGGCACTGAGGAGCATTGCCCAGTGCTGCCTGTGGGCCTGCAGCATTCACCTCACCTCATCTCTTCCCTGCAGGTGGCCGGGGAGCGCTACGTGTACAAGTTTGTGTGTGAGCCTGAGGCCTTGTTCTCGCTGGCCTTCCCCGACAACCAGCGGCCAACGCTGAAGGCAGAGTTCGAGCGGCAGATCAGTGAGGAGGACACAGTGCCTCTTTCCCACCTGGATGAAAATGCCACTTACCTGCCAGACTTTGGGAGCTTCCCTCCACAGCTCTACAGCAAAGGCTACACGTACTAGCCCTGGTGACAGCACAGTGCTGTGTACATACGTTCTATACATGGTTGTGTACAGGAGATAGCTGGTTAGTATTCAAGTGGTATCAGCATTTTTTCAGGCCAGCACTAAGCTACGAACACCTGCGTTGGTCAGGACAAGTGTTCAGGTACACGTGTGGATAACCACCTCTCAGCAGACAGGGCTCTTGTGTGCTTGTGATAAGACCCCTCCTGTGTGTCAGGACAGCACATGTTCTTAGCCATGCAGACATCTTCCAAGCAGTGGAGCTACAGCTTCAGCAGCACGTCGGGTAACTGGTGCCTCCAGCCGGATCAAACACGCCTGGTGCAGTCCCTCTCATTGGGGAGGGAGGGGATGCTGTCCCACTGGGCTTTTTTTCACATATGAGAATGCTACAAGGCTGCTGCTGACTCTATTCCTCCAGTACATGTACTGAACCTCTGTGTAACCTGCCCTCAGCTCTGACCACAGGGACTCACCTCTGAAAGGCCAGTCTTGCCTTCTCAGGATGGCTGCAGGATAGTGGTCACAGATCTTATGCCTCCCTGGGGGAATACTTGTTTTGAATGTGCATGCTCCTGCCTGATCACCTCCTTGCTCATTCTAGGACTTTCAGGCACTCTGAGCAGGGTAGCTGGAAGCACTGGCCAGGATTAGAGCAGTCCTGTAGATGACACACCACCATTTAGGGGAACTGGAGAGGTGCCTGATTGCATTGGTCTGGGACACAGGTCAAAGCCAATGCCATGTTCAGTTAGAGGGACTGGGGGAAGCAGCAAGGCCTGAGACACCAGCTCAGCACAGAGTTATGGCTTTTCCAAACTGAACAACTTCTTCAACAAACATCCTCAGGATCTTTCAAGACCTGTCAGGCTCTTGAGTGTGCCCATCCTGGGCTTGGCTAGCAAAATCATCTAAGGCAAGAAAAGAACCTGGTGGAGGTGTGATAAAAACGCTGTACAAAGTAACCTAAACCATACATAGATCTTAATACTGGAATTCAGTCTTAAACTCCACAAACCTTTGCATGTTTGAGGGAAATCCTGATATGTTGAAAAGGCAGCTCCCTCTGCAGCCCCATGGAGGGACTGACAGGTTTTCCACAATAGTGAACATTTATGAGTACCACATCCTTATTAAGAGATGTCTTTAATTAGCAGCTCCAACCACGTTCCCAGTTAGACAAGGAGCAGTACAGTGCACCTGTACAGAAAAAGCCTGTTTCCTACTGCTTCATAATGATTTTTCAGCTGCTGAATACACAGCATTGCCAATCCCACCAGCATGGTAGCCTGTAGAGAAAATTCTGCATACTGACTGAAAGCCTGATTTCTCCCAATGACCTTCCCCTGCATGGCTAATGCCACCCTCCCAGCCTTGTCCCCGAGCAAGAGAGCCATGAAAGGCAGCATTCCCTGCCTGAGGAGAGGCCAGATGCTCAGAGCAGCCTGTTCTATGTTCTGTGCACTCCAGAGACTTGGTGTTCTGGCAGCTCCTGGCCCTCCTGCCGTGCCCTGTGCCCACCCAGCATCCCAGAAGCGAGGGTGAAGAGGAACCCTTGGATATAAGCTGCCTTTACTATTTATGAGTGTAAAAATACTATAATTAATAAATTGGTCTACATCTTTGGCCAGTGCAACTTCATTGAGCCCCTGACTGGTCCTCCCTTACCTCCTGAGCTTGCTTTGCACAGCTCCTTGGCACCAGCTTGCAGCTTTGGGTAGCTGATCCAGAGGGCTCAGGGATGCATGTTTACTTCTGAATCTTGATGGAGTTGAAGAAATGAACACTTTGCTCCCTTGACATGCTCACAACCAGGCCTGAAAGATCACAGTGAAATATGTAACCTCCAGCTGCACCTGGTGTCAGGGGAACAGTTCTCTGCAGCTGCAGAGAACACCACCCACGCTCCACACTGCCAGCACACTGGCCCCTGAGCCAAGCTCCACAGTTTTAATTAGCTTTTCCCTGAACTTCAGCCCTGTCTCATGCAGCAGCACTTCCCAGGGAAGAGAGCATGTGCTACATGCAGAGCTGGGAGCAGGACTAGGGAAGTGCAGGGCACACAGCGAGGAGTGTGGCACCCTGTCCCTGCTGCAGAGCCAACCACCCTGCCAGGGCACAGCCACTGATGTGGGCCTCTCTCTACAGGGAGAAGCACTTTCACACCAAGAGAGTGAGGTCCCTTCAAGGGAAGTATTTGTGCCTTCTGGAGGCTGCACCCTGCAGCAGCACTGTTTCTAACAAAGGAGACTGGCAGCTTGCTTTTCTTTGGTATCTCCATCTGCAGGATTCCCATGGATTTTACATTTATCCAGTATTTTTGGGGCTACCCTCTGCCCAACACACCTTCTGGAATGGGAATCCAGGGAGCTGGTTCACATTTGGATGAAATTTTAGCTCCGCGTTTCACTCGGGTTTGTACTGTCAGGGCAACAGATCAATTGCTGCAGAGCAGTTCTGGGAATCAGCAAGATCAGGTTCTCAGCTCTGAGGGGCAGTGACCTCCAAAGGGCAGAGATTTATAATAACCAGATCAGAGAGCTGGGAGTCAATAAATACACTCTGCATTTCCAGTTTAGCTAGACTGAGAGGCAGCTGATATGGGAAAGATGGTGGAGGTAAGAGAGAAGTCATAATTTTCTCCTGATGGTCCTGAAAATGACCAGGAGCTTCCAGAAGGAAGATAAGCAGCTCCCACACAACCCTATAAAATACTCCCATGGAGGTTTCCATAAGGCAGAGACTGAGGAGGAACTTGTGCTTATTCCTAAGCACCACACCTACATGTCTTTTAAATCCCTCCAGGGACAGTGACTTCACCACTGCCCTGGGCAGCCTGTACCAATTCCTCACAACCCTTCCCGTGAAGAATTTTTTCCTAATATCCAGCCAAAACCTCCTCTGGCACAACTTGAGGCTATTTCCTTCCTCTTGTGCTATCACTGGGTGTCTGAGAGAAGAGGTCAACCCCCATCTGGCTCTAACCTCCTGTCAGGGAGTTGTGGAGAGTGAGAAGGTCCCCCCTGAGCCTCCTTTTCTCCAGGCTGAGCCCCTCACACCTGCCCCTCATCAGACTTGTGCTCCAGACCATTCCCCAGCTCCATTGCCCCTCTCTGGACACATTCCAGCACCTCAACATCCTTCTTTATGAAGATGTATTATCAGAGGAAAGCTCAGGACATTTAACAACATCCCTGCCCACCTTTGTACAGATAAGAGATTTCCAACATAGGTACTTTTCAATGTGAAACATTCTTCAAATTTGCTTTGTAAAAACAACCAGCCAACCTCATTCTCCTCGATTCAGCAATAATTTTAGCAAACGTTCCAGCTTTGGAAAAAAACAATTGGAGTTTCTGGAGCTATGGAGTCAAATATGTTTCATTTGTTAGCAAAGAAAAAATAATTTACAGGTAGCTTTGGCATGACATAGCACACACTGGGCAGTCAACTTCTTTTTAAACAAGAAACTTATGCACCTTTTGCAGGCATTTTATCTGTAAGAGCACATTCTATTAAAAAAAAACCAACAGTTGTGATGTCAACATTCTAAGTGAAAATAAAACACCAGACACACTGTATAGGAAGTCTAAACATCTGTAACCACTTCTCAGACAGAGCCATGCTGCAGAGGCAATGTGCTAATTACTCCCTGACACACCAGCCTTCAGCACCCAGGAGATGGGGATGAAGGATAAGACTTGCAACCTGACCTGTGCCATTGTCCAAATATAACTGACATTCTAGCTGGGTTTCTAGAGGTTTTTCGTGCCTTATCCCAAAGCCACAGATCCTAAGTATCTCACCACTGATAGCCTGGTTAAAAGACAAATAGTTACAATGAACAGAAAAATGCATAAAATAGGAAAAATGGAAAACAAGTAGCTCCCAAAAAGCAGCCACTGTCCAAGAGCGTAAGTGGAAATAAATCCTTTTTAGCAGAGTAAAGAAACAAACTGGTGACTCAGAAAACAGGCTGGTGAACAGCCAGTTTTTAATCACCATCTTTCTGTTGTTGTTCAGCTGAGTGCCCAGACTTCCAAGTCTCAGGTTTTGTCTGTTAAGTGGCGAATGACCAACGAAGTGCTCCAAGACCCACTTCTGAGAGGCCTGCAACGTCCCGTGGAGCTGCAGCACATCTGTGCCCCAGCTGGGGCACTCCTCGGGCTCCTGCTCTGCCAGGGCTCATTGCCTGTTCATGACACAGGTGAGCTTCACAGGAATGTCTTGTCCTCCAGGACACCGGCAACGACGAAAAAGTCCCAGTCCCCCAAATGTAAAACCAGCAAGAGTGCGGCGGGGAGCTGAGCTCATCGCCGCCTGAACGCCCGGGAGATCCTCCAAGCGTTGGGCTCCTCGTAGCGATTGTACAGCGGCTCCAGACGCTGCTGCTTCTTCTGCTTGCTCAGCTTGGTCGGGTCAGAAACCTTGAAGAAAGCTGGGGCAAATTCCACCAGCCAGCGAGGATCAATAGTTGTCACTTCCCGCATGTACTCCTTGGTGGTCAGCACCAGCTCGTGATACACCACCCTGTGAGAAGGGACAGCAACTTTGGAAAACAGTTTTTCCAAACAAGAAGCAACAAGACAACAGCTGGAGTTCTAAGTTTGCTCCTCTATCTCCTTCAGCATAAGGCTCCTTATAAGCTCCAGTGCAGGCTCCAAAAGGACCATCCAGAAGAGCTATCCCTAATTTCCCCCCTCCTACTTCACAACTACTCTTCAGCATAGAATTCCTTCACTCCATTTAAAACAACCCTTTTTCCCTCTTCAACACTCAGTGTTCCAAACTCAATTTCACAATACAGAAACATGGAACTGCAGATTTCAGGCCTGGCCTTGGCTCCAAAGGTCAGTCTCATCTCTGCACGGGCACTAAGTTTAGCAGCAGAAAGAGCCAAAAGCAGACTTGAAACTTTTCTCACTCTGCTCATTGCTGAGAAATCAGCAACCTCTGCTCAGATCTGTACTTCACAAACAGTGCACACTGCAACTTCCTCTGTTATAAAGTCTGAAAAGAAACAGAAAACTCCATGCTATTGCCTCCCTTACCATTCTGGCTGCCTGTTGAAGAGAGCACTGGATGGGTGGATATAAACTACTTGTTGGTCAATGAGTGTCCGATAACCTTCCTGGGGATCCTTCTTTGCTGCATTCCTGAAGAAGCCACTACAGATGGCCTTCTGCACCCGAACTGTTGCCTTCCCACAGGATACCACATCCAGCTTGTGCCTGCCAGACGAGAGTTAAGAGAGAAAAAAGTTAGGGTTCTCCAGATTTGGGTGCGGCTACCAACATCAAGTTACCAAAATTTTATTACAATGTAAGAAAAATACGAAACAAAGTCACTGTTTGTCCTCCTTGACGTGCTCACCTGTCCATGATGCCCAGCATCTGCTTGCGAATGTCCTGTGCCCTGCGTAAGGACCGGGCCTGGATAAAATTTTCATAGCACCAGGGATTTGAAAACTTGTTATTCTTCCAGGAATTGTACACAGCCAGCAGGGTGAGGTGGTCACCTTCTGTCTGATGGAACTTGGCTTTCTTTTGATCAGCAAGTGCTTGTTTATCCTAACACATAAGACACTCGTGAATCAGATATCTACACTGTAGAGACAATCCTCGTGCAACAAGAATGATGTTGGGCCCTTGTCACTCATACCATGACATCTAAATATGCCAACAGAAGATACAAAATGTTGAGTGGTGAGTGACTAAGGACCAAGTGATGAAAATCTAAAGGTCACTGAGACTGGTCTGAGTCAAAAGGAAAGCCTAGAAGTGTCCTTGTCAAAGACAGACCTCATGCAGACTCTCCCGTGGGTGACAAGGACCTGACCATAGAAAATGAACAATTTTTTTTTTTACTGAAACGTTTTATTCAATTTCAGTACCTATTTTTGAAAGAACATTTTGAAGTAAATGGCTCATTTATACTGCAGGAAGCATATACACATGTTGAACTAGCTGGTTTTTTTACTGCTCTAGAAATAACCTCAGTTACTCATCAAGAAAGGTGCTGCAGCAGCAGGTTTGAGCCTGCTGACCCACACACCTCTCCCATTTCTCCCATCTGTAAATAAAACATTAATCAAACACTGTAGCTACACGGATCAAAACTGAAGTTAACAGACTACACTGCAGGTGGCCACCACGAGGAAGAAATAATGGATTCAAGAGGGGCCTGCTGCTGCTGAATCCCACCACAGTAGAGCCTGTTGCTTGCTGACTTAAAAGAAAGCAGCATAGGATAGGGTTTCCATGAAGAAATACTTTCTGTGTATCTGAAAATGCAAAGGCAATCTGAACTCCAGAGCTGGGTCTGACTTGGTTTAGGCTGTATGTGTTTACTGGAAAATGCAAAAAAGAGAATATAAGACTTCTCACTTCCACCTTCCCATCTGCAAAGAAACTGCCACCATCACAGCCTACAGGCCCTTAAACCAAAAGGCATATCAGAGAGGTAATGCAGGAGCAAATGGTCTGACCAAGTTACAGGTTTCTTTTGGCCACTCTGCTCACTCTAACCCCT